ATCTGATCTAAAGCATATGGAACGTTTTAACATTCCTGAACGCACTTATAAACTGTAGATTTCTTCAATTGAGTCCAGAGTTGACTGACAGAGATAAATCAGCGTCAGGGTCGGCCACATTTACGCAAGCCAGGAGAGCATGCGGAAGCGTAAGCGCTTCGTTCCTGGGTTTGTTTTCTGTCCACCGGCAGGCGAGAGCTGACAGCAGCAAGCTTGTTTTCTTCCAAGTCTCCTAAGTAGTGTTGATGCACGGCAGAACAGCAAGCACGGGTCGAGTGAGACTTTAGTTAAAGCTTATTTTTTGATAACCAATTTAAAAATCATTTTGCAACTCCTAGAGTGTTAGGTACATTTCCTGAACTAATATGCACGCTGGAAATCAATGTCAAATACTTAGTTGTCTAGTTCTGCATCTCTGTTACTATTGATTTCCATTAAAGCACACGTTCAAAACAAACTCGAGCCTTTATCTTGGAAAAGGGCCCAGATGCTACCAAATATGTCCTATCGTTTTAGTTCACAGAGGGATCTGAGTGGATGTTTTCGAGCAAGCGAAGCCAAAATTCAAAACATATGACGACTTACTACACTCAGAACAAGAACAATTTGAAATTGTTAAAGTAGTGGCGTAATTGTGTCCATAAAACAAGTCTGTTTAGTACGTACTACTCCAGTGCTGATGTCTCTGAGCCACTGTAAAAATGTACTTTCTCAGAAATAACTAACTAGAGCCTTTTAGGCCCCCTCCTAATAACGGTGCTTTCGTGGCTCCAGCGCTGCAGGAGAGGGTCTGCTGTGATCTTCTCTGATATGCACTGTAATGCTGCTGGACATCATAAGGCTAATGAAGAGAACTCCAGGTGTTTCTGTGGGTTCATGCCTCCCGTGAGTCCCTCTCTAATACTGTGGCCATCAGTCCTCTGATATCTCACACTAGGCGCCAGAGCCCTTGGATTTTTTTCAAAGCTGCACCACTGTAAATGACTGTGAAACTGTAATAGGAATTCTTGTTCAGGAACATCAATAACCCAAAGGGCAAACAGGTTGTTAAGCTGAAGGAAAATCAATATTACATGAACATTTACATGTATATGTATTTTAAATGTAAAAAGAATGAACTAGTAATAACCTTCTCATAATTTTGCAGCATCAAATGTTCCACGTGACACATAATGCTGTTATTAGAAACCTAATTTTTATGACGTTCTCTGTGAATTCAAGAACAATGTGTGCAATATGGGTTGGAAAATGTATGACTACTTTTTAAAACATTATTTTACTGTTTTTCTGAGTGTCCTGAGAAAAGCACTGAGAAATCCAAGACCTTGCCTGATTTGTTGTAAAATAAACGATTACTCTAATTTATTAATTAAAAAGTTATAAATTAGAATAATTAGTAATAAAGTGATACATCATTTTATTTATATCTAAATTCTGAAAAAATATAAATAATAATAATAAAGTAACTGGTTTTACTCTAATAAAAATATTTAGCATCACTGAGTCAACAGAAATATATTAATTTATACCAACAACAAAACTATTTTTTATGGGTTAAAGAGGTAGTTTCCCCTAAAAGATTAGATAATTTACTCACCCTCAAGTTGTTCCAAACTTGTATTATTATTTTTTCTCCCGATGAACACAAAAGAAGATATTTTGATGCATGGTAGCCATTGACTTTCATAATATTTTCTCGAAAATATCTTCTTTCGTGTTCAACAGGAGACAAAAAACTCATACAGGTTTGGAACAGCTTGATGGTGAGTAAATTATGACAGAATTTTCATTTTTGGGTGAACTATCCAATTGAATAAAGTAAAAAAAAAAAGAAGCTTTTTAATGTAACAATTTTATCACTTTTTAGAGTGGATTAGAATCATTTAAAAATATTCGGGCAAACAGAAAGTGAAGTGAGACAAAACACAACCCTTTGTTTACACTGAGAAAATTGTGCCGCCACCTCATTAAAACCTCCTAAGTCTTCCTAATACTGCAGTAATTTAAACACTGAGACCATTAACACTGCTCTAACACACTGTGATTGACAGCAGTGAACTGGATCTTCGAGTTCTTTCTCTAGTCTAGACCAACCAATGATCGTTCCACTACAAGCCATTCAACACGAGGCACAGAGAATGAAATCACCCCGATCACTTCGTTGACCCAAACTCATTAATCCTACAGTTTATTTATTCAAAATCGAGGCATGTTCAACATGGCTCCCATTGAAAATGGAAAACTTTATTTAATGGATTTACACCTTGTGCCCAGAAAGAGATTAAACAAAAGAGAAAATTGATTTGGTAGCTTCGGGAAATGTAAAGCGAGCCGCATGTTCACATCAGCCGAGCTTCACCTTTGTTTTAAGGCTCTACGTGGGGCCCTAATGCAATGTAAAAGAGAGCTTATCGATCTTCTGGCCAGAGCTCCCTACTAAGCCATCTATCAAAACACATTCGTTCCATGCTTGGGACGCCAATATTGACCGCTGCACTCGCTATTTCAGAACCGCAAATTAACCTAGGAGCTCTCTGGATAGGTGATGAACTCATCCCACTGCTAACGGTCTGAATATCAGCACAGAGGACTAGTTTTAGGACACACTACCCGAAGCATCCCACAAGATGATCATTTAACATAAAATGAGAGTTTTAACTGAACACATTACACAGACAAGCTGCATGTATCCTTCCAGGTGCTGAAAAAGCCCCCAGTTCATGATACTCCCATCCAGGGGGTTTGATGCAGTTTTTAATAGGCTACTCTTTTTTTTACCTGTAGCGCGGAGGCGCGATAAAAAGCCAATAAAGTGCTGCTTCGTCATTGACAAACGCTATAAGACATTTGCAAGTTTTGTTTCCTATTGGATTGTAGGTAAACATCCACCTCATCCAGGCTCTTTTTGTTTTCGGTCTTATGAAATATCCTGTACAAATGAGTGAACTGTCCAAATGAATGAAAATTAATCGCAAACAATTTCAGACCTTTTCGCAAATCCGTTTGACCAACTGCATCAAAAGTGCGATTGATTTGCGAATCTTTATCTGGGCCTTATGCATTTCGGATTGCTTATCTGAATGAAAAACAAACCAAAAAGGTAATTGCGACTTTTTATCTCACAATTCTGACTTTTTCCTCGCAAATTGCGAGTTTACATTTTTTTTCTCAAACTCAAAGTTTATGTCTTGCAATTCTGACATTATAACATGCAATTGCGAGTTTATATGTCAAAATGTATAAATATATTATTATTATTAATAGTGAGAAAAAAAGACGCAACTACCTTTTTTTATTTTTTGTTCAGTGGTGAAAACAGGCTTTTATACTTAGCAACTGCAAGAAATAAGACAAAAAAATGCATAATAAATCAATAAAATAGCCACAACTTCTAAGAAACCCTCAGTCCTTTGAGAGCTCCTGAAGTCTTATGCATTTAGTATTGCGTGTTAGCTGAACACTAATAGGAAGAGAAACAATGCTGTTGGATTTCCTCATTTGAATGCTATCTGGATGACCGTGAGTTTATAGAGGTCAAAGTCTTTATTCTTAAGAATGGTCTTGTAAGTCATCCGAGTCGTATTAATATCAACAAATCTTTTTTTGGAAGCCTCATTTAATCATGACTGACTTTGTAAACATGTAGTTGGGAGTATATTCTCAGATATCAACAGCCAAAGTCTGTGTTTGTTTTAAGGGGAACGGCGCTGAAACTCGCACCTGATTGTCATCTCATTGATTGGAACATCTAACTGAAATTACCCTCTTTACAGAGCTGATTATTCTACAGGTTCACATACTACTTCCGGCTTTTATGAACAAAAACATGCTCTGTGGCTTGCACACAAATTAAGCTACATTCATAACAGAAGGGCTCGACACTTTCTACAGTAGCACCACTCTGTGAGGTTTACAATCGTTCATATATCAAAAAACACAGACAACTCTAAAGTGTGCATTACTCTCTTCTCTCTCTTTCTGCGTCACTGGAGAACTTCATAATTACAAATCATGGAGAAGGATTACGGCGTGGTGATGGTAAAAGAGCGTTTTCCAAATGTGACAGTCGTGGAATTACCTTGCCATTAAATTTACAGAACTGTCAGCATCCAGTCAGCACAGCTCATTATTGAAATGTTGATTGTAAGCCACTAAATCCACATTAAAATGCTGAACAGAGAAGTGAAAAAATAAAAGATATTGCTATGCAACCTCAACTAAAAACAATAACAACAGAATGATACTATGAGGCTCAAGTGCCTGATGTATCATTACAGCCTCTTAATATTTAAATATCATAAAGAATCAATATTTAATGGAAGCTTTAATGAATCCACATTTTATGCACCTGAGAATCACACTATATGGGTCGGTCAAGGTGCTTCTTGCACCTTTGGGCAAGGTCCACAGGTCCACTCTGTCTGTAGATTACAAAACGTTATGTCAACTATGAAGTTATGTCTGTTACATGACATTTGTATTTATGAATAATACATGATCTGGGAAGCACTAACAGAGACTGTGTTATTTCGAAGCCACTTGTTGAAAAACACAATTTCTTGTTAAAAAATGAACTTAAATATGCGTTTTGCGCGTGTGTTTTGATTAAGAACTGTGGAAGTTGTTTCTGATTAGAATGTTAATGAAGTAGTTCTTAAATACTGGTGCTTCATATCATAAGTAGGCTACAGAAACCGTCAAATGTGAGAAAGTAACGTCTCCTAACGTGGTATGATTCCTTGACAGTTATTATGCATATTTCTTATACACCCCAAGCATTCGTTTCATAAAAGACTAAAAGGCTGTCTAACAAATGAGCGCACTATTTAATATATAGCTCCCATATAAGGACACTTTTCTCTTTTAAGCACTGTGTGATTCATAGCAGTCCAAACATTTCGGTGTATTCATCTCTACCACAGAAATCACACAGACTAATTAATAGTTTTCAGCATTCAAGGGCTATTATAAAGCGCACTAATGATGCATGAATCACTCACCATTTCTGTGAGGAGCGCGCAGGTCAAAACCATGGCACGACTCTGAATCCTCCCGTGGAAATTCACATCTTCGCATGAAAGAGTGGCGCTTTAGGAAGAAACGGACAACTTCTAGGCTTCACCGGGTTTACTGCACGTCCGCTGTCGCCGGTGAGCACAGTTGTGGGAGTTTAACGTGTGAAGGCAATGTCCGCGCAAACTAGTTCCGTGGCTCAGCGGTCAGTCCAGGAGAGCCGAGCGTGAGCGCCCTTCAGTTTGCACAGTGAAACGCAAACTGAAGTCTCAAGTCCCTCCTCTTTCACACCACTTCCACCTCCAATGTGTATGTTGCCCTTTTCAAGAAACGCGTGTCCAGTGTCGCTGTTATGCGTGTCTACAACACGCAAGTCAAGAAGCACGCGCGTTTGCGTTTCAACTAGGCGTGCAGTGTGCACGTAATAGCCTACTCAACACATAATCAGGGTAGTATTTTAACAATCACAACGCATTGCAAACTTTCCCCCCTGTAATGCATACGATACACATAGCCTATTTGTGTAGTCAATTAAAAGAAATAATTATTAATGATCATTTAGACGTTTGTGTGAAACTAACCTCAAGCTGCTCCAGAGGATCTGCGACTATAATAAGTAACTCTTTAAATATGAAAACATCTGCTATATGACTTGCGTTTACTCATTTAAATAGCACGCTGCAATAAATAGGAATCTTAAACTAAATACAAACATATTTATATTTACATATATAACGAATGGAAAATAGATTTCCCCATTTATGATCCTCCATACAATAGAGCTAGGCTATTAATATGATAAAACTGTATTAAAACAGACTTTTAATGTAAAAAAAAATAGCACACTAAAAGTTAAAATGATTTCATTTAATCAGAATAGTATCAAATATTCTGAAATGCCAGCTGATATCACCAAATCAAGATAAAATATCAAATAAAAATCGGATGTCCATTTGACTTGGCAATTTTAGTGCGTCTCACTGCTTTTACATTGTCTTAAGGTGATTTTTACATAATATATTTATGTATATTACATTATGTACTTTTCCAGAACAAGGACTCATTATACATTTGAGTGGTATTAAGGAAGATAAAGACATGCAAAGGGGAACCGAAAACAGCACACAACTGAACAGAAACTGGAACTAGAGACATCAATAGCATGACATGTCAGTCACTTTCATTTTTTTTCTATTGTTGCAGTAAAACATGGATTTGCTCTACTCCCTTGATCCTCTGTATCTACCCCTTTTAATCTGCATGTCTCACAACCTTTGTCAGCGTCTCTAATCTATATATAGCTTCAAAAAATGCATAGGTTTACATAAGGCATATCAAGCTTGAAAGGTCAGGTCCAACAACTCTTATTACACACTCACATTATTTGACAAAAATAAGTTATACAATCTTGCAGAAAAAAATATAACTGTAATAAATGAATCTCAAATCCAACCCTGACGAAAAGACCAGCATATGTTGTGCTTTGAATGCTGATGTGCTATTGTCTTCACTGTGGGTGTTTAACCAGCATAATTTAAACTGAACCAGCACAGGAATTCTTATTTATCTAAGTTATTTTAAAGCAAGAAACGGGCACCTTTTAATAAGAACAAATCTACAGAATTCAGAAAGTAGAACTACATGAAAATAGAACATAAAACCACCAAGGTCCCATAGTCTTGTCAACAAGACCTTGTTGATGTGGTAAAGAGTCAAGAGGACATGAGAACCGGAGGTCTCCCGAAATTATTTCCTGGAGGAATGAATGATATTTTTGAAAAGGCTTCATTAAGACAGCATGTTTTTTCTCCATGCACTGAGCCTCACACATTTTTCTTCTCGTTTTTTCGTGTTCTCTCTTTGTAACTGATATTGCAGTCCAGTCCAGTCATCAGTCAGACAGAACCATTATTATGCCTCCGGTACTCTGGCTTGCCATCTATAAATTGGATGGCACTTTTTACTAAATCAACAAAAACAGAGAGGCTGGTGTGCTGAGAGTGAGCAAGCTCTGCTTACAGTAGCATTCAGTTCATTATATGTTATGAATGGCACTATGAGTAAACCTTCACCTTAGAGCTGTAACATATCCCCCCGCACAAAGTATATAATTCTCTTGCATTCAGATCTTTCTGCTCTGTGATGTGTAGAGCCTATATTGTTCCTGTGAAATCTCACTCCCACTCCTCCAGCAGAGTGGCAGAAAAATTGAAAAAGATCCTCTTCAAAACAGTCACTTTTCTGTTTGGCATCCTGGTACAATGCTACTTGCGTTACTAGAGAAATGTGCAAATGCTGGTATTTCTCTTCATTATGGAAAATAGGTCGACTGCTTCCCTCTAGGTGTGTGTAAAGGGTGAATGAACAGCCAGCACATTCAAATGTTAGTCATATATCTTTCATGATTGTGTGTGCACCTGTTTGTGCCCGACGTGAAGTATATATTAAAAGTTTGCTCTTGAGCTATCTTTATACCACCAGACAAAGCAAATATGATAAGAGTTTTATTTTCTTAATCAATTAAACTGATGCCAGTTCAAGGTCTGAAACATCTATGCAATGGTGTGTTCCATTTATCTGATGTTGAAAATTCCAAGTTTTCAGTAGGAACTTTTAACTTTTGAATTTTAAACCCGACTTCAGAATCCAAACTGGCTACTCAGCACATCAACAGAAGTAATATATTGATAATTAGCACTTCTGTGTCTCAATAAACTCAGTGGTGCACACATCCGTGGATACTTCAGTTCTATCAGTGCAAAAAAGCTTTCAATGTGTTTTTATCAACTGTTATTTTAACATATTTTAATGTGTCATTACTTTCCAAAATACGCCAGACCATAATTCATACCACAGTGTAAGTGCATACTCCATTCTTAACGTTGCTTAGGGTGCTATAACAGTTATTATAAAAAAAAAAAAAATGGGCCCAACGGCCACAAAAGAGCACCATAAAATGACAAATGGAACATCTCATTTTGATGAGCTTCAAAGACACACACACAACCACCATCACAAGCATGCAATATGCATTCAAGTGTAAAATTTGAGATGTCTATCACTTATAGCTTTTTTTTTGTTTTTGTTTTTTTTTTAAAACATCTGCTATATGACTTGTGTTTACTCATTTAAATAGCACGCTGCAATAAATAGGAATCTTAAACTAAATACAAACATATTTATATTTACATATATAACGAATGGAAAATAGATTTCCCCATTTATGATCCTCCATACAATAGAGCTAGGCTATTAATATGATAAAACTGTATTAAAACAGACTTTTAATGTAAAAAAAAAATAGCACACTAAAAGTTAAAATGATTTCATTTAATCAGAATAGTATCAAATATTCTGAAATGCCAGCTGATATCACCAAATCAAGATAAAATATCAAATAAAAATCGGATGTCCATTTGACTTGGCAATTTTAGTGCGTCTCACTGCTTTTACATTGTCTTAAGGTGATTTTTACATAATATATTTATGTATATTACATTATGTACTTTTCCAGAACAAGGACTCATTATACATTTGAGTGGTATTAAGGAAGATAAAGACATGCAAAGGGGAACCGAAAACAGCACACAACTGAACAGAAACTGGAACTAGAGACATCAATAGCATGACATGTCAGTCACTTTCATTTTTTTTCTATTGTTGCAGTAAAACATGGATTTGCTCTACTCCCTTGATCCTCTGTATCTAACCTTTTTAATAAGTGTATATCAAACCTCTGTCAGCATCTCTAATCTATATGTAGCTTCAAAAAATGCATAGGTTTACATGAGGCATAGAAATCTTTGCTCAAAAAGCTTGAAACTCTTATTACATATTTACACCATGCGAGAAAAATAAGTTATACAACCTTGCAGAGAAAATATAGCTGTAATAACAAATGAATGTCAAATCCAACTCTGATGAAAAGACCAGCATTCGCTGTGCTTTGAATGCTGATGTGCTATTGTCTTCACTGTGGGTGTTTGGGGGGGGGGGCATCTAATTAAATATGATGGTGAAGGAATAGTTCACTCAAAAATTATAATTCTGTCGTTGTTTACTCACCCTCATGTCTCTCTCATGTATAGAGAAACCCCCCCAGAGATAAAAACCCTGACATTTCTCAAGTTATCTTTTTTTCTCCAGCTATGACATACAACTTCCAAGGTAAATAAAATGCAGCACAAGTACTGTATGTGAATGCAGATGCTTCCAGCAACACAATTTGTGTAGGGATGCACACATTTTACTCACATATCGGTTACTGACTTCAAATATCGGCCAATATTAGATATTTAACTTTGCATACTGTGCAATTATTAGCAAATCTCAAAACTAAAATATATTGTAATTATAATTCTGTCATAATTTACTCATCCTCTCATAATTCCTTTCTTCTGCGAAACCCAAGATATTTTGAACAATGTTGGTAATTGGCTTCCACTGTTTAGAGATAAAAACCCTGACATTTCTCAATTATATTTTCCCCCCCAAAGTTTTTATTTTTAATTAATTTTTTTATTTTAACTATCCATTTAACTGGATAAAGAGCTGTTTCCCTTCAACATTTAGGTCCCTAGAGTAGCAACGTGTTAAAGAATAACAGCAAATGTTCATCAATTGCTATTGTTAAGTGACCTCTGTCGTTACGCAAGCGTCTAGTTAATGTCATCTCCAAACAACCTTCTTAATGGATAATGAAATAATGACTGACATATTAGAAAGGGCTCCATCTTCAGCTGCTTCCAGACACTACTTAGCACTTGACCCACATGTTTTATTGACTCCGAGTTAAAGATGTCGATATTGATGGCAGGCTGCTAGGTCATGCCCTTCCTCGCAGTGGCCGGTGTCAGAGCGCACTGGTTTGGTCTGGTACAATTCTTTTGATGGATGCAATCAGGGGCCTGTGATTTGCTTGAGATGAGAGAAGTTAGCGACTCCCCAGAGAGAATAAAAGAAAGATCGGGGAGCATAAAGGAAGAGATGAGGCTGAAAAACACTTCTCTGACTCTTCTGCCCTTCCACGCTATTACCCACACCTGGCTAGGATTTCAGAAAAAGCATCTGCCAATGCTTAAGGCAGCAAATATTCCTTCTGAACCGTGAGGGTTTGCTGTACCCAGAGGAATCAAGTCTGATTCAGAAGTTATGCTGTGCAATATTATTGTCCTGGCACCAGGGACAAACAAGGATAGATTTGAAGCTCAGTTGCTTGAACTTGTTTGGATGGCTAAAATTTTCCATCTCACTGTACTTTACAAGCTCTTAGCTTATGATGCACACCGAGCACAAAGTGAAAACCAAACGGGATAATGTGTTTGTGTATTTGCCCAGACTATTAAGTGACCAAGTGGTTCT